TAAGTAGTGTGGCACATAATGCTCATCATTCTGATGTTTCAGTGTGATTTTATATCATGCACTTGTGTCTCTTTTTGATCTGACAGGCTGCAGAAACACAGTGTTTTGTCATGGTGTTTCAGCAGCCATTCATTCAATAAAACATCTCTGAAGTCTATTAGTGGGTCTTAGTTTAGATCCCTTGCATTAGGTTCTCTGGCCTGCCAAGAAGATAGACAATTTAATGAACAAAAATGAAAGAAGATAAAGCAGATTTTAAGGAAAGTCCGTAAGGAGTTTCCTGGATTCTGCAGTTAGGCAGACTTAAATTTGACTTGCAGCAGCTCTTTTGGGGGCATTCTTAAGGTGACCTTGGGAACATCTCCTGTCTCATCAGGCTGCAGTGAGGATTAAATGAAAAAGAAATGTGAAAGACCTAACCATTGTGCAGTAAGGAATGTGTGTGGTCTCTTTCTTGAATGGCATTTGAAGCAATTGCCAAGTGGGATATGGTGATAATTTTGGACCTTTATTGTGCAGAGAGTCAGCAGGGCAGCTTAAAACTATGGTTCCATCCCCAGAAACTCTTGATGCAGCAGATCAGGGTTGGATCACAGGAATCTGCATTTTTAACAAGCATAGAAGATAATTCTGATGAAAGTAGGATTACACTTTGGAGGCTGGGGGTAGGCCAAATCTCAAGACGTTTTTGGGATCCAAAGGAAATTCATTCATTTGACCCTGCAAATTAAATAACCTGGGTGAGTGAGTTTTTGTGGTTCATCTTTTATCAGTAGTCATTATGAGGATCTAAATATTGACCACAAAACTCTACTGGAGAAAATCATTTAAGAATAGCTCTGTCTGATTAGGTAAATATACTAATTTGTAAAAATATGTACAGCACTTATAAGTACTGTATTAGCCTGTTCTCATGTTGCTATGAAGAAATACCTGAGACTGGGTGATGTATAAAGAAAAGAGGTTTAGTTGACTCACAGTTCTACATGGCTAGGGAGGCCTCAGAAAACTTACAGTCATGGCGGAAGATACCTCGTCACAGGGCAGCAGGAAAGGAAATGCATGCCAGTAGGGGAAATGCCAGACACTTATAAAACCACCAGACCTTGTGAGAACTCAGTCACCGTCATGAGAACACCATGAGGGAAACCATTTCACTTTCCTCCAACCAGGTCCCTCCCATGAAACATGGGGATTACAATTCGGATTACAATTCAGGATGAGATTTTGAGTGGGGACGCAGCCAGACTATATCAAGTACCTTACCAAAAGTGAGCCTAATATTTGAAATAAGTAAAAATAGAAGGAACTCCATTAAGTAGAACATATCAACCTTTATAGTTAATAAATTTTGGGTGTTTCTTTACCAAAGGAAGTAAGTATTTTGAGACCAGACCTAACACACAAGAACCATTCTGCATCATTCTCCCCTGTAATTCAGTCTGGATGCCATTAATGAGAGTGCTCTGGCTAATCTTAATTGTCATGATAGTATGAGGAGATGTGATACATAAGATATTCAAACCATGTGGGGTATATTATTAAGAATCATTGTTGAGTAAAAGGATGAAGTGAAACAGAATGAAATAAGTCAGGCATCCAGTCTTGGGATTTCCTGTTGTTAGTGCCAGAATTTTTACTTTTTATGTTAAAAATGCAACATACTTAATTTTTCCTCTGACACTTACACAGTACAATTTATATATACATATATATCCATGTGCATGCACATACACATACATCGAGCCATATTTGATGACCAAAAAGGGAGAGGCCCCAAGGGCTCTTTGGTGTGCAATTAATATTTTGGCCAGAAAATCAGCAGATTGTTTCAGTATGGTTATGTGTTATGACATCATATTCCAGTAAAGTTGTAATGAACAGAAATTTTGTTTGTCTCTGTGGCAAACCAAAATGAGTTTTGTAATTGTCAGCAGGCCTTAGTGATTATAGTGGTGCCCACTCCCTCTACTGTAGTTAAAGGTCTGTTAGCATTTCAGTTGTGGACCTTCTATTTTCAGAAGTTTATAATTAATTGTAAACATTTGCTCTATGGTGAAAGTTTGCCATATAAGATCTCAGTTCAGGAGTAAATTTCTGATTTCAAGTTGTCTGTTTTAAAATTTTATAATAGAACCAGTTAAAAATAAACATAAGTTTATAAACAAACGTTACAAATAAAAGTTCTGTGGAGGTGGGAAAATTGAATTTTGTGAAACACAAAGTAAAGATGAGCAGCATTATTCATATTAGTCTGTCAGATTTCTGCACTAAGGGGATTAAAATAAATTTCTGCATTAAAGGGATTAAAATAAAATAGATGACAGGAAATTGTGCATTTCAGCACCCTATTTAGTTATCGTAACCAAAAAAACAAAAAAGATTGTGATTTTTTAATGCTTTTTAGCCTTTGCATGTTAAAATACTGTGATTTTTAATTTAACTTTTTATATTTGCTAATTAAAAAAGAACATATGACATATAATGAAAACACATTTAAAATGCTTTATCTTAATTTAATAGAAAACTATAGTTCAAGAAAATTTAAGTCAAGCGTTTTAAACATCGACTTTTTCTTTTTTTCATGCTCTGAATTCCTCCCCTTCACTTGACTCTTAATTACTCCTGTCCCTGACATTGTGTTGTAATTTTTCTCCTAACTTTGACCCCTTTTCATCTCCTTCACTGCTGTCTATTGTTTCCCTAGCACTTTGATCATAGGCATTAATCAGTTCTTACCCTTAGGCTCCTTTTTGATTCCTTTACACTTACCCTTTCCAGGTGCTTATCCACTTGCATGGTTTCAATTATTGCCTTGCAAATCTGCATCTTCAGTACCAATCAGCATTTCTAGTTATTCACCTTCAGTAAACCTTCATTGATTAGTCCCATCTGCCTAGTGAATTCCTACATGATGGGCTCTTTCCAGTTTATCTCAGGTTGAATATACAGCGTCACTACTTGGATGTCCAGTAATTATCTAAAATAAAGTAGGACCTCAGTTGCACTTCTTTTTGCTTGGAAACAAACATTTTTTTAGCGCTGGAGTTAAAAATCACTCCAGTGATTTTTCGGCATTACAATTGGAATTCCACCATTTCATCAAAATCGATTATTTATTTTGCTAAGTTGCTCAATTCAGTGGCCGTATTTCTCAGTCCTCATTTTACTTGACCTGTTAGTAGCATTAGATGCAATTAATCCCTCCCTTCTCCTTGACAGACTTTTTTCCTGTTTGGCTTTCAGGAAGGATGTTGTGCTTGCTTGGCTTTTCTCCTATCACACCCTCCCATGCAGTTCTCATTGTTTTATGCCTTTAAATACCACCCATATATATTGGTGATTCCCAACTTTCTTCTCTATCTTGGACCTCTTTCCTGAAGTCCAGACTAATAAATTCAGTTGTCCAGTTGACATCTACACTTGGATAGCTAATAGGCCTAATAATTGAACGTCTCCAAAACAGAGCCGCTGAGATCCACCCCCAGCAAACCGATTTCTTTTGCAGTCTTCACTGTCTCAATAGATGGGTAGTCCATTTTCCAGTTACTTAGTTCCAAATCCCTGATGTCACCCTGACTTCCTTCTCATATTCCATAGGCAGCCTTTGGGTAAACCCATCGTCTCTACTTTCAAAATTTGTCTAGAAACCTTCACTTCTCATTCTTTTCATTGCTACACCCTAGTTCAGGCCACAGTCACCTTTCCCCTGGATTATCTCAGTAGCCTAGGAGATATCCTTGCCTCCGCATCGTTCCCCTACAGTGTGTCTTCAGAATAGTAGATGGTTATTCTAAAAGGTAAGTCAGATTATGTTACTTCTCTGTGCAAAACCTTACAGTGGCTGGTCATTTCACTCAGGGTAAAAGATGCTTACAGTGATCTGTAGGGAAGGCCTTATGGAAATCTGGTCACTTCTTCTCATCCCCCAGCTTTTTATCTCCTGATTCTCTAAACTTTTGCCAGACAGGCCTCCTCCGAGTTACTTGAACGTGCATGGCACTCTCTTGCCTGGCTGCCCTTGCTGCTGGTATTCTCTCTGCTTCACAAATACTGTCCCAGATGCCTGCATGGCTTGTTCCCTCACTTACCTCAGGTCTTTACACAATTGATATTTTCTCTAGGAAACCTCTCTTGGCCACCCTATCTAAAACCTACCTCCCTGACACCTTTGAACCCTTCCCTGTTTACTTTTGCATACATCTATTTCTAATATACTCGATAATTCTGCAATTTATCTTATTGTTTATCTTCCCTACTCTAATGTAAGTGTTTTTGTTCATTGCCGTAGTCCCCTGTCATATAGAAGACACTCCATAAACAATTGCTGAATTAATGGATTTTTATTACGTATCTTCTTAATTTTTTCTCCTTAATTTCTTTTGGGGTTTTCTTCCTTCTTACAGCCTTTGTTATTCCTTCATATCTGCATTATTGAGCTTTTTAGTCATGCATCATTACCTCAGTCACTGTAAAATGTATGAATATAGCACTTCCTGCTTAATAATTGGCCTAAACTCCTTATCCTTATGCTGAACCTACTCTCCTTATTACTTTGCATTGTACTCAGTCCATTTCTCTGCCCCTGTATTTCTATTCATAATTGTCTTCTGCAAAAAGCACAGTAATCTATATGTTGTCACCTGAACAGTCTTGCCTGTCCCAGACTCTGTTGTAGCTTCACCAGACCATTCGCTTACTTCTGTCAAAATCTAACTGAAAACTTCTCTCCAGGAAGTCTCCTGTGATATGATTAAATAATATTTACTGTATTGTTTTATATTTAATGTTGTATTCTATATGTGTTTTTCATCAGGATAAGCTATTATCTGTAGATGTATTGACTCACATTTTATCCAAAATGTATATTTTTGAGGTTAAAATTGTATTAAGAGTATAGTACATTATATAATTGGTATCATTTAAAACAAAATAAGTTATGAATCATTATAGAATGGTTTTATTAAACTAACTTTAATGTTTTTATTTTCTTATTTTAGGTATCATTGCCCGATGCCTAAGATCTTTTATGTTCAGCTCACTGTAGGAAATAATGAATTTTTTGGGGAAGGAAAGACTCGGCAAGCTGCTAGACACAATGCTGCAATGAAAGCCCTCCAAGCACTACAGAATGAACCTATTCCAGAAAAGTCATCTCAGGTGTGGGGCTGCTGCATGTGACAGTCTCTTCTTTCAACTTTCCCAGTGAGGTTATTGGGAAGACAAATCTGTGCATTTTATAATTAAAATAAATAATCTGTTCTGATAGGGAAGAATATTAGAGTGAAGACCTGCTAAGATTTGCATCTCAGATGGTCTACCATAATTGACTCATGTGTTCCTGCAGGATGACTTTACCTTTGGTTCCTCCCTCACGTTCACTTCCCAGGCAACTGGGGATTTGGGGATGTATATGAGGATGAGAAATGACATTGATTTGCCTTACATTTTATACTCTGTCTACTGAATATAGATTACATTGTGAATCTAGAATCAAGGATTTAAAGTGGAGGAGATTTTATGGATTTTTCAGTCCTCCTTTGTTTTAGAGGCTGTTCTTGAGTAATCTCACTCATTCTCATGGCTTCAGCTACTTTCTCTATTGAGTCCAAAACAGTATCTGTAGCTCAGGCTTGTCCTATACATAGTACAGTGAGCTTCTTACTGGACTTTTCCACTTAGTTATTTCAGACTCTACAGTTCAGCCTCTACGGTTTTCCTTTCTCCAAACTGTTTGTTTCTCCTTTGATATTTATCTTAATGGATAGATTATGACAGGTGTTTTTCTGCTTATACTCTTTCATGAGAGCTCCTATTTCTTTACCTGTTTTCCCACTAGATCATACACCTCTGTCTAACAGCAGGAATACCGTCTCTAATAGTTATAGTAGGTTCAGCATGTATGAGGCCCTCCAGAAGTATGTGTTAAATAAGTGAATAAAGTAAACCAATACCTATACCAGACATAGAGTTCCAACTAGGATGCTCCTGGTTTGCATCCTGTACTCTTTTTGTAACTTCATCCTCATAGATCATGTTAGAACACGAGTGGAGGAATTCTTGGGTGTTGGGGGTTTGTGGGTAGAGAACTCCAAAACAAGAGAGCCAGGTCTAGGGATGTAGGCTAAACTCAAGTAAGTGTATGGTTGTAAAAGATTTCCAAAGTCTGCATTAAACGCTTTTCCTTCAAGGAAAACAAACTAAAAACAAAACCGAATAACAGAAAGCCTGGCAGCAAAGCCCTTGAGTACTGTGGTTACAGAAGAATGTAGCAGATACGGCCTATAGTTTGTTGTTTCTTGTATTTTAAATAGGCCATCTTGACTGTAGAATAAAAGTAAAGTTGTTATAACGGCAAGATTCAGTGTTATCCTATTTTTTTGTGATTTAGAATGGTGAATCAGGAAAGGATATGGATGATGACAAAGATGCAAATAAGTCTGAGATCAGCTTGGTGTTTGAAATTGCTCTGAAACGAAATATGCCTGTCAGTTTTGAGGTATGTACTTGGTAGAGATCTTCCCATTTTTTTTTCCCTGCTCTGTTTATTTTAAACAAATCACATTAACTGGTATACTAGTATCCTGTAAGAGTTAATGTGCTTCTATATGTTCAAACTCAGTATTATGAAATGATCTAGGTTGTGGTGAAAATAGAAATCGTGATATCACAGATTTCTTCTAATTTTTTTTTCTTTTCTGTATTAAGCCTTTGTACACATGATATTTCAATTTTAATTATAAAAGTTATTTTCTGGGTATAAGATAATTTGTGGTACCCTATAGGATTTTTTTTTGTTTGTTTGTTTGTTTTTTTGTTTTTGTTTTTGTTTTGAGACGGAGTTTCACTCTTGCTACCCAGGCTGGAGTGCAATGGTGCGATCTCGGCTCATCGCAACCTCCGCCTCCTGAGTTCAGGCAATTCTCCTGCCTCAGCCTCCTGAGTAGCTGGGAGTACAGGCATGTGCTACCATGCCCAGCTCATTTTTTTTTTTTTTTTTTTTTTAGTAGAGACGGGGTTTTACCATGTTAGCTGGGATGGTCTCGATCTTCTGACCTCGTGATCCGCCCACCTTGGCCTCCCAAAGTGCTGGGATTACAGGCGTGAACCACCATGCCAGGCCAGGATTTGGTCTTTTAAATAGGATTAAATTAAATTTATTCAAGTTAAGATTTAGTGACACATATGTTAATATCCAATTTTTTCAATTGTGTAGATGCCAAAATATGTTTCACTGTAACTAACAAAACCACTAAGAAGTAAGAATTAATGAAGCAACTCTTGACTTTACAGTTAGATAAATATGTCGCAAATATATTCATAAAATTGTATAAAATTAAAAAGTTTTTAAAAAATAATTATTATAATACCTCCCTTAGTAAGAGGTCACTAATTTTACAACTTATATCTGGAAAGTAGGCAAGAACCAAGAAAAAAAATAAACTGAAAGAGTTGGGGAGAATCTTCCTTCACATTGTATGACATTCACCTACTAGAAAGCTCCCACAGCAGGATCATCTGAGTTGTACTTAGAAACTGTTCACTTTCTCATGGACACAGTTCTGACAAGTTGTGTTACCTGAGTTCTCAGCCCACAGCAGGTTAAAAGCAGCAAAATGAGGAAGTCAGGGAGAGAATGTCCTTGAGATCCTATTGGTCCAGCAAGAAGTGATTTGGAAAATCTGTAAAAAGTAATTGCTTATACTAAAAAATTGTTGGGATTTTTAAAAAGGTTACAATGAATATGAACAGACAGTTTTATAAGTCTTAGATGTTCTGGGGAACATGAACATATTATGGCATAGGATATCTGATGTTTATAATGGTGATCTAACATAATTAAAGGTTAGATATTTAGTATTCTCTTTTAAGTCAGTAAAACATATACTTTTTTAAATTGAGAAGAATGTCTATCAAAGTAGTTAAAATAAACAGTTTTGGTGTTTAAACTAGTAAACCTAAATTACTTGGAAAGTATGCTTATGATAAATTCCTTCTCCCTAATAATGTTGCATTATTGAGATTTGGTAGTACTTTCAGTCCTTTTCCTAATTGGAATCCAATATTAGAAGACAAAATTTCAGTGTAATGTTAAATAGTAAACTACTTAAATAGGATATCTTGTATAGGTCAGGATTTTGAAGGAGACTAAAAGTTTTGAGTCTTCAGGTTTTGGAAGGCATATCTCCTCCAAAAGCCGGCATAGTTTAAAAGTGAGAGCAGATTAAACAAGGTTTAGGAACATTACATTCATAGCTGACAGATCTATAACTCATTACTCTAGGAGTTAGGTATTTTTGGCATACCTACTTACCTTAGTAAAATCATGTCACAAGAATAAATATCCTTTTCTGTAAAACAGCCTTTGACATCTCTATCAAAAACAGCTTATTTTTCATCCAGCAGCTGTTTTTGAGAGGCTTCCACAGGCATGGTGCCTTATGGTTTATAGAACTACAAGTTTCTCCAATAACCTACTCATAGATAGGAGAAAGTTAGATATGTCTGTAATTATATACAAACTATCATTCTAGATGGCCAATCTAATATGGTATCTAATGATATCTTTGATGTTCTTAAATTTGTGCTTCCTAAGACATGGAAAAACTGTAATCAGAATTGTCGGTTTTAAAGTAATAAAAAATCATTTTGACTATGAATCAAATGTGTTTATTTAGATTTCTTCTGTTTCAACTGCATTTAGCATCAAGTGTCATAAATAAATAGTCCCAGTAGAATACCTTCATAATAGCTTTCTTAAAGAAATACTATAATTTTGGGATAATACCAATTTTGATTTTGATATGAATATTAAGTCATTCTGTAAGAATACATCTGAAGTGCCTATACATTATTTAATATTTTACTCATATTTATTAGGTTATTAAAGAAAGTGGACCACCACATATGAAAAGCTTTGTTACTCGAGTATCAGTAGGAGAGTTCTCTGCAGAAGGAGAAGGAAATAGCAAAAAACTCTCCAAGAAACGCGCTGCAACCACCGTCTTACAGGAGCTTAAAAAACTTCCACCTCTTCCTGTGGTGGAAAAGCCAAAACTGTTTTTTAAAAAACGCCCTAAAACAATAGTAAAGGTAAGTTTATATTTGTGAACATCAGTCAGTTTTACTAAATAAATATTATGGTAGCTAAAGATAAGCGTTTTTCTATAAGGCAGGTCCCCTAACTTATGGATTATATGTAGTCCTGAAATCAGGGCAGGACATGTAACTCTAAATTAATGACAATTCTGTTTTGCTTTTTAGACACCTGTTTTACCTGCGTTTGTTCATCAAATAATCATAATACCTTAGATATTTATAGGTTTTTTTGTTATTTAAAAAGTGCTTTTCCATTCATGTCACCTTACTCCTCATGACCATGTAAGGTAGATGATGTTAGCCCTCATTTTACAAATAAGATTTTATAAAACATATTCAAAGGGTTTGCTCATTTTTATTCAGCAATCATGTTGAACCACCTGAACTGCTCTGATCTCTAATCCAGTGTTCTTTCTGCACACAAGGCTGTTACATAGTAACGTCTTAGGACATCATGAAATTTAAACAGGATACAAAAAAAATCATATGAATAATATAATGAGGATAGCTACAGCAGCTGGAAATCATAAAGCACTCCATCTGCCAGACTTTGTCCCAACACTTTGCGTGCTTTAATCACATTTAATCCACATAGCAACCATATGAAGTAGATGGTGTTATTTTGTTGCCATTCGTTCAGATGTGTATACCTTGCCAAAGAATATGGAGCATATAGCTTTTCAAAATATTGTGACTCTTTCATTTATTGGATCAGAATTTATTCACATTAATAAGAGAAAAAAGGTAAATATCAGAGGAATGAGATGAATCAGCATTTAGTATAGGACAGTGTCCATGAATACTTGACACGTATGACATGTGTGGAGTTAAGAGTTCTGTGTTTCTAGAGAAAGCTTTAAATTGACAGCATTTCACTTGTTGGCTCATCCTCACTGATTTAGCAGACTTCTGATCAGGCTGTACAAATGAAGGATTACAGATAAGAAATATCTTTAATCTCGATGGATTTCTTTTCTTTTGATTGCACAGTGGCAAAATTTGGGTTTATAGTTTTATACCTTTGTACCTTTGTTTTATTTAAAAACACCTACATACATACATATAAAAATAACTACTTAAATACTTGTTTTTAATGAATACTGACATTACTTCACTTAGAAATACATTACTTAGGTAATGCATTCCCTGAACTGGCATTATATATTATATGTAAGGTAGACTAAAAATAAATGCAAATAGATACACTTATTATGAGTCATAGTGGTTCCCAAGAGGACTGGTGCTTTCATTCAGATGCTCATCTTATAGAGTCAGGGAGTAGAATATAGCTGTTAAGAGAATGACCTTTGGAGTCAGTTTTGAGTATGAATCCCTGAGCAAGTTACCTAACTTTTAAAAATATTTATTCATTTATAAAGCGGGAATAATAATTGACCTTGCTACATGGGATTGTTATAAGTATTAACTAAAACAATGCACAAAATGCATTAGTAATATTAAGTATTCATTGTTACTAGTGATAAAGCAACTACTGTAATAAGGAATACATATTAGCTATCGGTATTTTGTATCTAATACTACCTATTCACATTTTATGTGTATGTGAATATATCCATGAACTGTTTTTTTAAATCTATTAATATATAAAATTTTTGGCTTTTCTATGATAGAAGAACAGCATTTTATGTTGGAATAGTGGCCCAAAACTGGTCACAGTAACTTCCATCTAATCTATTAAACTAAGTCTTGATAAATTAAGAATAATATACCAGGCTGGGCAGGGTGGCTCACACCTGTAATCCCAGCAATTTGGGAGGCTTAGGCGGGTGGATCATTTGAGGCCCAAAGTTTGAGACCAGTGTGGCCAACATGGCGAAACTTCGTCTTTCCTAAAAGTACAAAAATTAGGTGGCTGTGGTGGCACGTGCCTATAATCCTAGGTACAGCTCAGGAGGCTGAGGCACGAGAATCACTTGAACCTAGGAAGCAGAGGTTGAAGTGAGCCGAGATCACTGTGACTGCACTCCAGCCTGGAAGACAGAGTGAGATTCTGTCTCAAAATAATAATGATAACAACAACAACAACAACTATTAGGCTAGAAAAGATCTGTACATTTCTATAGTAGCATATAAATCTAACTCTTGTTTTAACTATAGCTATTTAAAAGCAAGATGATAATTTAAATGTTATTCCCTAGAGGCGGGAGATAGGAGAAACATTTTAAATTCTCAATTATTTGCTACTGCTTCCAGTATATAAGCAATATTATCCCAGAGTTTCCATCCTATGCATCCTTCAGATCACAGCATAAATTTGGCCCTTTTAGGGACTCCTCTGGTCCTCTCCTACTCCCAGATTAGGTTAGCCTTCTGCATTTTTCCTCACATACACCACCTTTGGAGTTACTTTTGCCATATCTGTCTTTTGTTAAATCCTGTAGATACCCTCTGAAATGTAAGATTATTTTGAGAGAACAACATCTGTATAACGAGTTGGGATCTAGATAATTTTAAGTATGTTCATACCTTATAATGTGCCAGTAAATGGATCAGCTTGGAATAGTATCCTGGTTTTCCGCATTGTCCACACTTCCTTGTATAGCTTATACATCAAGGGTGTATAGTTCCTTATACTCAGTGGAAGCAGAGAAAAATATCTATGATGGTTTGCCTTGGTTTTATTTAAAGTAAATAAAACAATCACATTGTCTCAGTTGATTCTCTTAATCATGCTGTAATGTAGCATTCATTTCTGCCTTACAGATGAAGCCCTTTATGTTTAAGAAAACTATCCAAGATCCTGTAGCAGAGTTAGCTTTCAGACCCAGTTGTCATGTCTGACTCCAGTGCCCATTTGACACTGGTTAATTGTGGGCTTTTGGATTTTAAGATTCACTGTATAGGGTTATCCTGTTAACATGTACAACTGCCCTGATAATGTCTTTGTGTTTACATTCTGTTTTTAAGTGTAATTCTCCTCTATAAGATGAGACTTCAAACAGGGCTTTCCAGTCTTGGAAATCAAATGTTCTGGACACAGTTTTTACAAGACTGTCCTTATTGATATATAGAATGATAAAAGATTTGCTGTCCAAGGAATAACTTAATTGTCAAGGGTGCTGGTAGTTGATTTCAGTCAGAGCAAGAAACCAAGTCCCCCCACTGCCCACTTTTTTTTTTTTTTTTTTTTTTTTTTTTTTTGGAGACAAGGTCTCACTCTGTGTCCCAAGCTGGAATGCAGTGGCATCATGATCTCTGCTGACTACAACCTCCGCATCCTGGGTTCAAACAATTCCCCCATGTCATCTCCAGAGTAGCTGGGACTAGTCGTGTGCCACCACACCCAGCTAATTTTAGTATTTTTTGGTAGAGATGGGGCTTTACTATGTTGCCCAGGCTGGTCTTGAACTTCTTACCTCAAATGATCTGCCTGCCTTGGCCTCCCAAAATTGTTTTTTTGTTTGTTTGTTTTTGAGACAGGGTCTCACTCCTGTTGCCCAGGCTAGATTACAGTGGTACTGTCTTGCCTCACTGCAGCCTTGATTTTCTGGTCTTAGGTGACCCTCCCAACTCTGGAACTACAGGCACAATACCACCATACCCAGCTAATTTTTTGTATTTTTTGTAGAGACAGGGTTTTGCCATGTTTTGCAGGCAGTCTCAAACTCCTGGGCTCAAGTGATATGCCTACCTCATGCTGGGATTACAGGCCAGAGCCACTGCGCCCAGCCCCAAGCCATTCTTGATGTATGCAGAAATGCATCATTATCTAAATGGATTTGTGTATCTGATTCTTTGTCAGTGGAATCTATATCAACAGTAATGTCCGTGGAACTCACAGACGTTCTTAGAGTCAAATTAAACAGAAATGAAGACAGTATACCACTGAAAACACATTCCTATTTAACATCTTCATGAACTGGGCGTACTACTTCTAGTGCTGGACTCAGAGCTTCTCTTTACCTTTTCATTGGGACCTCAATCTTAGACTTATAAATTATTATGTGGATTTGTCTTTTCTCATCAGTCCTTCTTCATTCCCCTTATAATTTATTAATTTTTATTTTTCAGGATATAAGTAGAAATTGAAACCAGCATTTTATCAAAAGCTAAAAGTTTCCTTTTGCTTTTTCTTTTCCCTTCATTTAACCATTGCAACAGTGAAGTTCTCAGTCTTTTTCCTCTTACTCTTTCCCTAAGCTGTTCTTCTACTTCTAGGTGTTCAATTCCATCTTTATATAAATGATTCCCAAATACTCTATGCTCTATGCTGCCTATTAGACATCTCCACTTACTGTTTCACAGGTGCCTCAGATTTCATACCAAATTCATCATGTTCCCTTCTAAACCTCTTTCTCCTGCAGCATCCTTTATCTCAGCGACTGGCACTAACATCTGCGGAAACTGCTGAAGATCATTTTTAACTTCTTTTTTTTTTTTTTGGAGACGGAGTTTTGCTTGTTGCCCAGGCTGGAGTGCAGTGGTGCAATCTCAGCTCACGGCAGCTTCTGCCTCCTGGGTTCAAGCAATTCTCATGCCTCAGTTTCCGAGTAACTGGGATTACAGGCACCCACCACCATGCCTAGCTAATTTTATATTTTTAGTAGAAACAGGAGTTCATCATGTTGGCCAGGCTGGTCTTGAACTCCTGACTTTAGTCGATCCACCTGCCTTGGCCTCCCAAAGTGCTAGAATTACAGGTATGAGCCACCACGCCCGGCCTTTAACTTTCTTAATTCTTATGTCTCATCAGTCATTAGACTATTGATTCTGTCACCTAATATTTCTGGTCTTTTTTTTTTTTTTTTTTTTTTGAGGCGGAGTCTCACTGTGTTGTCTATACTGGAGTGCAGTGGCATGATCTTAGATCACTGCAATCTGCAACCTCTGCCTCCCAGGTTCAAGCGATTCTCCTGCCTCAGCCTCCTGAGTAACTGGGATTACAGGTGTACGCCACCACACCTGGCTAATTTTTGTATTTTTAGTAGAGACGGGGTTTTACCATGTTGATCAGGCTGGTCTCGAACTCCTGA